GCACAGGGCAGAGATGTCAGAGTCAGAAGCAGTATGACCGTATCAGTGTCCAGCCAGGGGAGTCCTGTTGAAAGGCAGAGCTCATTTCCCTGGACACATGCCATGCATGTGATTACTACACTGCTGGGACACCAGCTAGAGTCCCTGCACTGTCCTGCGCCGTGCAAGGCAGGCAGTTTGCCTTGGCCCTGAGTCTGTGATCTCTGCTCCACACACCATTGTGCCATACAGGCATCCTAGTTGCTTCCTTAGTTCAGTAATTCTCAAATCTTTTCCAGAACTTCTTGAAAACATATTTTTGTCTTTGCTTTCTTATTTCTTAAAGGGCAGAAAATATTCTTCTAATGCCTCTTTCCTACTACTTATACTCTAGAACAATTTGTTTTTTAAGGATCTATTTTTAGGTCTATGACATACATTTATACTCATCTCTTACACAGCTCTTTGCAAAGGATTCAGGAAGTAAAAGCATAGGTATATAAATAGGTCATCCATCTGCAAAGCTAATTCCTCCGAGTTTCAATCCCAGACTGCCCTTCAGGTAGTGCCTCCCTCTCTTTACAGGTACAGTTGTGATACTTGGTGCCATAATAACTTGCATCAGGCAAATAAACCCCCAGAGCCTCCAGCCTACAAACATGGACTCCCAGGAACTGGTACAGACTTATGGAACAGATCGATCAAGCCTTTTGCAGGTCCAGTGAGGTCACTGGAATGGGCACAACAAGCAGGGAAGTTGGGACAATTTTCCAAGTGATCACAGGGGAGACAGAGAAAAGGAAATATTGTATTTTCTCCATAATAAGAAATATTCTTTACACAGCAAGGCTTAGACAGAGTTGGCTCTGTTTCATAACATTTCGTATTTTTCATTGTTTTATCTGCACTACATATTTTAAGAATTGAATAACAATGGCTTTATGGAAATTAAAGGAATTTAAGTAGATGTTGCATTTTAAAAAGTTCTCATATCTGGCCAGTTACTGCAATTTCTTTTTACCCTTGGACCAGACCATGGAAAACCTCAGCATGTCCTAAATAAGCCAAGGCCATAACCTGGTATACTCAAGGCCCACTGGGGATATATGTGTATATGTGTTTGACCATTTGTGTTATAACTGCATGCTGTGTTCAAGCATGAACACATGCCCTTTGCTCATGCTGTCCAAACCAAAAATGTCAAACAAGTGTTACTGTCAGCGGCCGAATCCCAGAAGTTGCTCGGAGAGTGCCTGGCTGTAAGGATGCAATAAGAGATGTCGGGGAAAGAGAGGCAAATAAGGTCAAAAAGGTGGGGGAATGCAGTGCATGCCCTAATCTCCAAGCCACTCATCCCTTGTCCATATGGCAAGGTCACCAGCAACCTGGAATGCAGCAAATGATGACACAGTACAGGATATGTTAAACACTACTTCCTTATAAAAGGACTGGCTGGCTTTCTAGCGACAGCCAATCCCTATTTCTTTTCTGCATAGTCCTCCCTCTCCTGGCAATGAAGAGCTGCCAGCCTGCAGTAGCTAAGCCCACAAGCAGAAGCAGCCTGGAAAAGTTGTTCATGTAGCAGCTGCTCCATCAAAATCAAAAACTCAGTTGCCACAACACTACAGGAAATACTAAAAGTTTGAACTGTTGTGGGGAAATCAAGGAAATCAAGCCTTCTGTTCTTCCAAGTAATTCCTTCGGCAGAAAGCCTCAAAAGAGAACAAGCTGTTCCCCTGGTGTTATGGAACAACCATTTGACTTTCACCGAGCTCTAAAGGCTGGGTACAAAATAATGAATGTTGACCAGATAGATCTGGATGCAACTATGATACAGCTTTTGAAGTCTGGAAGGCACAGCACAGCCATTCCCAAAAGCATGAAACCTCAGAGGTGTTTATATAGCTAATACATCCTTTTCTCCCTGATGGGTGAAAAGAGCTTTACCTTCTTATTTAGCGTCTTTCAACATCTCCTTTTGCAGCCTCCACTGAGGGGCAAACTCACCATTGCAGCTGCTTCCCCACTGTCCAAGAAGCCACAACCACAAGAAATCATACTGCACCTTCACTCCCTGAGCAACCACATATCAAACGTGCTGCTTTTTCTGTTCCATTTTTTTGCATCAGGAAGCCCTTACAACAAATAAACTACAGTCAGATGAGATGAAAAGTGCTAAAAAGTAAAAAACCTTAGGGTTTCTCCTCAGGGAACAGGCAATTCTTATAATGCAGAGCTGAAGCTAACTTCTGCTCTCCAGTGTATTGGTACTCATCAGAGCAGTTTGATGAAAACAACTGGGTGGCAAGCAGTGACAGTCTCCAATTATCACAGCTGCATGGGTTTTTTTCATTTATTTTTGATGTCAAAGAATAGGATTTTTTCCTTGGTTTCTCCAGCAAAAATGTATCTTAAGATCTGGAATTCTTATTTGGGAACTTCAGAAATTAATATGACCTCACCTCTACCATCACATAGGGAATATCACTCAGTAGGGACCTAACATTACCTTTTATCTCTAGACAGGTGCTTTACAAAATCCAAGAGGGTAATACCATACAGCTAAGCCTACAAGAGGCTCAAGGAAACCTGAGATGATGACAAGCAAATTATTTTGTCACCACTCTGGATCTTTTCTTCATTATTCTGAACATGTCCATCCTAGGGACCAAGCTTTGTCTGTGACTTCTGGACCAATGTCTACAGCTGGATTTAGGCAGGCTGAGGAGTGCGTGAGATTTTTAATGCAAATAGTTGAGGGAGTAAAAAAACAAACAAACAAGCAAACAAACCTGAGCTCAGTTTTCCTGCCAGAAATGCTTTCTTTTCCCATTCATTGATGCTCATCAAAGCAAAGGGAAGAGGGAGGTGGCAGTCTGGAGTTCCCACTCCCCAGTCAGCACAAGTATGTTAGTCTTTCCTCACGTGTGGCTTTTTTCTTGACCAAAGCTTAAATACTTGGTTTCAAGGGCTGGGCATCCAAGGCTGCCCTAGTGCCCCCTAGTGAAAAAATGGTAAAAGCTAGACCTTGTTTTATCCAATATTGGCTATTCATTTCTATCGCAAACAACAACTGATGGTAATTAAAGCAAGACCCTTTGTCCTACTGTTTTGTAAACAATCTGGAATACTAGTCAACAGGGAGATGATATGCAGATCTGTCTTTCATTTCCATCAGACCAGATGCTGGTCTGTCTTTGCTTTTTCAATGGTAAAAGTCAGATCAAGAGACAAATAAGACAAATGACTAAGGTTTAGCCCACACAAGAGTCAGTTGTCATCTGTGGAGGGAGGGAAGAGCTCTGAGTGTGCAGAAGGGTGTGTCGTGCCTCAGTACTCAAATTTCCTCTTAGGTTTCTAAGCAATTAAAAAATTAGGACAGTGCTTTGGCCCTCTAGATACTGCAGACTAGGATGGGATCGGTTGGGCTGACACATAGGTAGTTTAAGGGAGTGGAGGTTCTCTAAAATAGCTGTTGTTGAAGGAGTCATGCCTCTAAAACATATTTGGAGCTGAATAGTCTCAGCAGCTGTGGAGAAGAAATCTAGTTTACTCCTCAGCAGATGTCTGTACACAAAATCTGTGAGAACTGAACTCCTTATCACAACAAGGAATGAATCTTCTCTCCCCTCTGAAGTGTCCCAAAACAAGCCCTAGATCTTCCAGCTTGAAAACAGTCTGCTTTTGCAAAAGGCACAATAGAGTTCTGATGTTTTATTTTAAATATTCATGATGATTAAAAATTGACTTTAACAGTTGCATAGATTCCTTTTAGGGTTGTGTTATTGTTATTTAGTTAAAATAAGTGTACTAGCAAAAGTGAAGAACATCCTTAAATTGCATAGTGATCATTCCATGGAAGCTAACCCCTTTCTTTTTGCTTTTTTTCCCATTTCATAGGTAGGGTGGCCTCACTCTTCCAAAAGGTAGGGTTGGGGTTTTTTCATCTAAGCAGAGCTAGTTCTGGTTTCCTCACCTTTTTATATGTCATCCCTGGAAAGACAAACTCTTATCTACAGGATTAAGGAATTTTATCATGACAGTTGGTGTCATTATCATTATCTCTATTACATAGTAAGAGAAAAGTAAGGTACACGAAGGTATAATGACTCATCCAGTATCAACCAAGAGGCTGATGGAAAAGCTGGGAAAAGAACCTGCCATTCTGAGTCCCAGGTCAATGCCCTGTCAGTGAGCCCCCACTAACTGTAAGGAACAATTAAGCATTCATACAGCCTTAGCAGAATTGCATAGCTCTTCATTGTTTCATTCAGCCATTGCCTCCCCTACAAAATCAAAACCAAACCCAAATAGCAGACTTGAAAGGAACCAGCTATAATGAGGAAGACATGGGAGATTGGGGTGGGGAGGGGGGCATCTGAATGCTTGGTTTTTTAACAGACTCCGGTTCCTTTAAATATCTGTGAGTTTCAATATCAGAACCAAAGAAATCTTTTGGGAGGTGTTTCCTTTCTCCACTTCCAGCAGCTACCGAACCTGTGCCAAATACCATAGGAGAAAGGACTTCATCACTAGCTTTGAAGCCAGCATCTCCTCTGCCATCCAGTCATCCCAAACCATTTCATATGTTACTGTCACACAATGTTATTACCAGGTATCTACTTGGTGGAGCAGAAGATTTTGCCACTTGTGACTGCAAAGGCTTTTGCTTTAAGGTTTCATGATCTATAGTTTCTGTTAATGCAAGAGAAAAAGTAGAAGGCAAGAGAAAGGAAAAAGTGAGAAAACAATGTAGTTTTAGTTCATGGGATAGTTTATGTATGTATTTGTATTATAATAGAATACATACATAATTTTACCTTTATGCACTTGTGCATGTGTATTTTTCTATTTGTCTATACAATTATTTAGCTGACCTGTTTAATGGAGAAAAAGAATTCCAGAGTTGAGAGGGACAAATTGTATATATATGTATATATATGTATAATGGAGCATAATTTCAGACCAAATCTACACACTCAAAGTTTTCTCTTAAATAGTTTTTCATGTTTAAATCTTACCTCTGCTCCATCTGTGGGTCACAGTAGCATGAGCACTGTAATAGAACAGCAGCAGCAACAAAGTCTTCCAAAGCATCCTTCTCTTTAAAATACGTATGTCTAGCTGTATAGTGGCTTTTTAATTTCCTACCTACTTTCTTTTCAAGAATAAATAAATGGCTTTTTCCTCTCTTCCCCCACACCCCTTTGAAGGGGAACCTGTCTGTTCTTCTGAGTACAGCTGAAGTCAGTGTGCAGCTTCTCTCCCAAACCAAGTCTCCTCGGGATCAGGAAACTTACTTTCACAGGCAGACTTTGTTTTTATCCACATCTGGAATGACTCATGGTGCATGTGAGTTTGCTGGCAGCTGTGTGAATAAATATCATTACATTTTTTTAGTTGAGTTTCATTTGTTATATGGGCCAGTTGGAATTTATTTTTGTCCAATGAACAGCCACAAGTAACTTCATTAAAGGATACTCTTGAATCCCAGCACTGCAGCTACTCCTCTGTAACGCAGGGGGCTATACGCTAACCCGTGTCTGAGGCAAAATCCTCCTCTGGAATGATGTACAGCTGCCCTTGGACGCTTAAGTCAGGGAGTGGGGCATGTGCTCTGCAAGAACATTTTGCTACTGTGATTCATATAATCGCTCCTTTATTAAGAACATATAATGCCGCACTTAGACTTCAGTTCTGCAGGAAAAGTCTTGGCCTTTTCCTCCATTTGGCCAGTGCAGAGAACAGGAAGGTCCAAATCCTTAACTGGCTCTCTTCGATGGTACTATGTGGAACAGTAAGCAATCCTAAGGACAATCTACATAGCCAGGCTGAATGTGAAGAGGTGATGCTGAACAAAAAGGCTACTGACAGACGTCTCCTTGCCGACACTGGCCCCAGGGAAGACAACACTGGAACACTGGGAAGCTTTTATCCCAGAGCCACCCGGCATAGCAGAAGCTGCAGGTATGTACTGTCCCTGGCACAGCTTCATCAGCAGCATCAGGGGGTGCTTTGTGGGAATACAGCACTGGAATAACAGCAGGTTGCTGTGTGTTGGAAAAGACTGATGAAAAATAGGAACATAAGTAGTATTTAGCAGAATCAAGGGATAGGGGATAATCCATTTGGTGCCTAGAACTGATGAGTCTAATTCTCTTCTTTTATATGTGAGTGTAAGCCAGGAACAAATCCACAGACATCCATGAATACACACTGGTGTAAAACTGGCACATAAGAAAGGAGACTCCACCTCAGAAAGTATAAATAGAAGAATTAAGGGAAAGGACCAAGAGTTGGAATGACAGTGGGCACTGTGGCTCAAAATTAATGGGCACTGGCAGGAAGGCATGGAGAAAGCCTGTTCAGCTCCTGTCTCTCTCATGCCAAAGTCTGGCCTTAACTTCAGTCATCTCGTTCTTCTCTGTCCCAGCTTCAAGTAACACCAGCTGTAAAGGAAGGAGGAGGGTCAAATAAGGTTGTCTTGCTTAAGGCAACTCCACTTCTTTTCCTACATGTACAGATTTTCCTATGCTCAGAGTGCCTCAGGTTACTCCCACATGAACAGCACATGAATATAAGACGGTATTTTACATGCCAAGGAGATGACAAAAGGTACAATTCAAGCAGAGGGTGGTTAACTAATTTTCTCACTATAAACTTCTTACCAGAACATATTAGGGATGGGTCTGAATGGAGGGTTAAAGGTAGGAGTGGGCTCACTCAAATGCATCTGTCCAGTAATTATGGAGCTGGAACAAACCAGTTTTACATTCCCTACAGAGGGGGAGAAAGAAAGAGATATGCTAGAAGAGGATGATTGTTCATACTTAGTTTAAGTAAGTCACTTAGGACAGGATCAGTTTCTCTCTGGAGGAGGTGGGTCCAGTCACCAGCACGGCCAATTCTGAGATGATGTGCATCAAGATGATTTGCATCAAGAAGGTGCAAGCTGCACCATAGTAAGGGGATAATGATCTGTCAACCACTGAGGAAAAAAATAGTGTGATGTAATGCCTACTGGGAAGACTTCAACCAGTAGGGAGGACTTGAGGAAGTACACTTTAATTTAATAAACCACCTTAGCGAAAGCCCTCTAGCAAGCAAACATAGTGGGTATAGATGGCTTCCTTAACTTAACTGCATCAGCCTAGCTACCCTGGCATGGTGATCTTAATGTCAACAGGGTCTGTGAACAAGATGTTTCAAAGTCAGATAGACAAGGGAGAAGCAGCACTCAGAATGTGCATTACAGGCTTGAGAAATGAAAGAGAATTACAAGAAAATTTACAATCCTGTGGGGTAACAAAGGAACACATTTTCAGTGGTATTTGGGGAGGAGAGGTAGAAACTCTTCTGAGGTGGTGTATCATTTCATTGTTTACATCTAAGGAAACAGCAGCCAATGAGAGAGGATGAAGGAAGTCAGACAGGCTCCATCCCCCTCTAAACCAGAATCAGAGCTATTTTGCAGAAAGAGCCCTGCAGGATGACTCTGACACCTGACTGCCAGCAACAACACACTTCCTCTGCTAGTTCTTTGTCGCTGCTGCTGCTCAATATATCCAGCCTAGAAAGGGAAAGGACAAGAATCCCAGGAATTTCCTTCCCCGATCTTCTGCTCCACCTCCAGCCTCTGGAGCAAGCACCCTACGAGCAACAGAGCAGCTGAGAGAGACAGAATAGATGTGTGATAAGACTGGCATACAGGTCAAAGGGATATACGAGTATGAAATTATTACTGATTTCTCCTTTTTTAGACCCTGGAGATGTTGCTCTGAAGCTACTTTCTATGTGATATTTACTGTTATTGTTTATTTCTCCTTAATCCAAATCTGGCTACAGGATCCTCCCTTTGCCTTGTCTGAGCTCAAATACAAACTCTCCCATCTTTGACTGCCTCTCTGCATGTAAAACAACTGTAGGGCAAATTTTACTTTAAGACTATGAATGATGAACTCACATCTGTTTTCTTACAGGAAATGCAGCTGTAAATATAACAGATACACGTAAAATAAAAAACACTTTCCCTGTGGCATCCTCTTAAGAAGTGTAAATGCCTGTTTCCTCCCTTAAAACTGTAGATCTTTTTCGCTCCCATATGGTTGTATATACACAGAGTCATATCCTCCCTATTTAAAAGTCCTCCAGACAAAGCCAGGAAATAAATCTTTCAAGCGTGCTCAGGAAACTTCAACTATACTGCTTCTATTCATCTCATTACTTTGTTTTATTAGATAGTTGCTCAGTCTCAGCTGAAGGCAGTTTCCACCTATGCTGGAGGTTTGAGTCACTGTAATTATAATGAATGCTGAAGCACGATAGAAATCGTCACTATTTATAAATATTGAAAGCTCCTAGATTGATTTGGAAGTGCTTTATGGTGAAGAATTCATCCTGAAGATGTGTCTGGTCAGAGAGGGTACCATGCCACTGAAGCCAGGAGGCTGAGAGCTGGTTTGCTAGCTGGTTGATATTCAGGTCTTAAATCAGTGTAGTGCTAGACACTGTCACAGTTATGTTAAGGTGAATATTTATGTTTTGCCAGTTCTCATAAATTGAGGTGTTGGAACTGAAAGTCCTCCAGTGCTCCCAGTATCTGAGAGACCTTTTAGGCACAGGAAAGGTGTGATGTACTGCTGCCTCTGGCAGGCTGTCGGAGGTGAAAATGGGCTTTTGAGCAACTCTCAGCAACATGACTAGACAGCAAGGGAGCAGCTTTTCCATTTGATTCCTCCATCCTGATGCTGCCAGTGAGAGTCTGTACATATTGATACTCCCACACAGTCTCTCTAAAAAGCTTGGAAACAGGGTAGGGAGAAAAAGAGTGGGTGAAGACCGAATAGGGAAGCTGTCAACTGCCTTTGTGTGGCCCATGCACAGTGAGAGTGGAGAGCTGGTAGTGGTACCACAAATGTGTCTTTCCTTCCCATCACAGATGCTGTCATGGTAAAAGGACAACTTCAGTAGGCTGGGAGCATAGAAACCCTACATTTGCCAAGGGATTCCCTGGAATGACCAGTGCTTCAGATGAGGTGTCCCTATGCGTTCTCTTTAGTAGCCCATTTTGCGAAATAATTTATAATCCAAAAAGAGAATAAAAGGGGAAACAAGGCAGTGGGTGATCCAACATCAGCAACTTGTGGTTCTTAAAAAAAAAATATCTTTTTCACTGGAGAACACCAGCTTATTACATCAGCTGAGGCTTTGATGAGCTTCTGCCAAACCCAAGGAGAGGTTGCAGTCTGCCCTGGTCCCTCAGTCACTGTGAGAGTCCCTTGCAAATCTTCTAACAAACAGGCACATACTGATAGACATGCCCTGGTTCAGTTTGAAAACTGTGTGTGTGTGGGGAGGAAGTTCCTCTGAATCAGAAGCTCTACTCTGCAGCCAGAGCCCTGCCCTGCACCATAGGCAGGGCAGCATCTGCCTGCTAGTATGCCAGCACAGTGGAACAATATTGATGCATGACACAGACATTGGTCTCCTTCCCACCATAGAGATGGATAAATGGAGACACACACACAAAGTGACTCACTCACTGAATGAATTGATGGTAGAGCTGATCTATTCCTCTGCCCAAAATATAAGGCCCCAATCTGGCACTGCAGCAGCTCATACAGCACCAGTGATATCTACCAAAAATAGAAAGTAGCTTCTAGAAGAGGCCAAGAGGTACCCTCACCATTAGGAGCACAAAAAAAAAAAAAAAAAAAAAAAAAAAAAGCAGCTCTACACAAGCACCCAGGAGAAGACGTTATTTCAAAACTGGACTACTGGCCATTGAACCTCATCATCCATGATGACACTTGCTGGCCCCTCAGCAGAGTTTGCAGCTTCCTATTTGAATGGCAGAATCTCACCGAGCCTCAAAGCAACAGCAACCAGGATGAAACTTACCTAACCATACAGTGCAATGGAGTTGTAAGCTGGAAGAGACCTTGAGGCACCTTGTAGCTGTCCTTCTGCCCCAGAGCTCCCTTGCTACCTTGATCTCGCTGCCTGTGCTCACATTCACAAGAGCACTTAGATGCTGAGCTGATACTTTTCAGATCTACATTTAAATAACCAAATTTAAATTCTGCACATGCAGCTTTGCAGGTATCTGAATTGCTTCTGTCCCTAAGCTTCCCCTGTGAGGCTCCTTAGATGCTTGTATCACTGTATCTACCTTGAAAACATCTTATTTCATATT